TATATATATACATATACATATATATACAAAATTGTGTGTTTGTGTGTTTGAATGGGGGCCAGTGGGTGGCTAGACTTACAGGATAGGAGAAGCTCATGCAACAAGCGCACTAAGTGACGTTTATTGGAAATGGTCGACGTGTATGCGGCGTGTATCCTTGTATTATTATTTTATTTGAGTGTGACAGCCATTCGTGAATTTGTTAATATTTTTTATGTATTTGAGTAAGGTCATGGTGCTTTGGAACTTGCTATATACCATCTCATTATGTGTGCCCTGTGCACAAATTATGTCATGGTCGTGTGGTCCAGAATATCTGAAACCGTGCGTCTTGCATTTACTATATGTGTTCCCATATATTTCTGTATAATACATACCTTGCTACCCGCATCTGTCTGGATGCTTATTTTAGCGAGCAGAGTGATCGTCGTTCACTTTCACACATACTATCACAATGCCCTCGACATACATAGTCTTGCTTCGGGTTCTAAACACCTTGTGCCTGTCTTTCAATCATATTTCGCAAAAATACCTTATCGTGTACATTAAAATAGCTGTGTAAGTATTGATTTCAATAAAGGGTTACAAACACTTGTTGTCTGCGGTATTCGAATCACGCACCCATATCATATTGATATGAGGTGCATTCTGGAATATGCATATTATACACATAAGTAGAATTCCTGGCTAAAACTATAACATCCGGCCTATTCAGTTTCAATTGGTGGATTGAAACAATACATCCGAATGCCCTACTATCTCGCATCAGAGACTGAGTTGCACACATGACACATGCCAATTCATTCTTTACGACAGTCCGTCCCCAGATCGCATTCGTACTGCGCATTGACCGCTAATATATCTCTCAAGCGACGACTTAGTGAACAAGCGACCGCATCAAGGCACTACTCCACATACCAATTTCGCATACAAATTAAGTATAATACGGTAGTACGATCTACACAATAGGCCTATTCCTTTGCCTTTTAAGGTCTGCTAGGTTCCTTGTAGACATCCGAATTGCACACATTCGGGACTTTGTCTATTCGGGTCTCTCATTCTGATAGTTTTATTAGTACGCGTGGCTTCTTCTCGACACAATCTGTAATATTTTTCTCGTGGTTAAACCCTCATCGTGAAGCTCACTCAACCTAATATTAGTTTTCAAGGGATATAGCTGTGCAACGCATTCAAGCATATGACCATACCAAGCGGGTGTTTAGCACCACCCCATTAGGTTCATCAAGCACTAGTTATAGCTCAATCGCATCCTTAGAACCTATAAGCAAATTAGTACTTAAGTATATATACAAGCTGTCTGAGCTAATGTTACCTTAGAATACGCAGTCTTGTAGATCTGGGTTCAATTTATCATATACCTTGAAGTGCCAGTTGGTGAACACTCATATATTGCTGTGTATTCCTTTCCTTGTGTCTGCGACGAATTCCCATCGGGGTTAAAATAAATAGACATAATGTATGTCATCTTCAATCACACATTGCTACTATAAGCGGTCACTTTCCGTGTACCCTATTAACCTACGCTCTGTATTTATTTTATATATATATATACTTTTCTTGTGTTGATCCTATGATAAAGTACACATACCAATAATCTTGCCAGAAATCCACAAAAATGCATCACATACACATGAATACATATTTTTCACAACCAAACACTAGGTACTGCTGTGTAGCCGCGAATATATGTGTCTACATGCCTGAACTTCAGCTAGCGGGTTACCAGTTCGTACGTTTGTCATATTGTACTTAGTTCGGGCATTGCCCTATGAGGGCCTCCGCAGTATCGAACATGACGTGCCTTTTCCCGTATATATCAGATCGAAATATATATATATGTATATAAATGTATGTACATATACATGTATATATATATATATATATATATATGTCAAACTATCATACGCAGCGTTATGTAATCACACGAGCTCTAAATCAAAATATGCACTTATCAATACTTCAATCTTGTATCTTTCCCTCCATCGTAGTATAAAGAGCCGTGTGTATCTGCACGCGCATACCGACATGTGGCACCCAGCATCGAGTTGGTGAGAGCGCAGAAGGTGCAAGAGTTAACCGAGGCCTTGCACGCGGCTGTAGACAGTCAGTATGGGGGCCCTTCAACACAGGGACGCAAACGCGTACACGAATCTTCCCATTATAACGATGGCAGTGGGAGTGCCGTGCCTATTTTGGCCCTGGAGCGATGGATGTTCAACGCCAAGGATCTCGAGAGGGATGCTCTGCGTGATATTTCGGGGAAAACAGGCGATGAAGGTGGTGAGAAAAACCAAGATTATGAGAAATCTGTGGGAAGAACAGAGGAAACCGACGCGCTGCTGCCGGATATTATAAACGTAGCTGAAAAAGTTGAGCCAGTGCTGGTCAGAGATCTAGTCAGGGGTAGCCATACACAGGAGAGTGCCGCGGAAATAGCGACACACGTAGCCGAGCTGTCGCACGAATTTGCGGTGGGTATCAATCGGCTCTGTAAATTAGGTTTATCTGCAGACCTCGAACCGAGTTCGTCCATGGCACCGAGCTGCCCGCAATGCGGAAAGATAATCGAGGTGCGGGTACGTGTGACCATGCACAAGCACACGATCGATGTCAACACTGTGCGAATTCGTCAACGACCAGATATGAAGCAGAAAGGTACGCAGGTAAAATATGTGCAAGGTGTCAAAGAAGAGGGACTAGAGGGGGGTGATGGTACGAATGTTAGTGTAGGGCCGCCGGTATGTGCGGTGTGTGTTGCTGACGGTCGCACTGCACCCACCCGTCTGCTGAAGCTCAACCACGAGCACTACGCCAAACTACGAGCTTTGTGGGATAGCGCACAGGCGGCCGAGTCTGTGGCGGACCATGCAGGAAATGCAGACGGTGATGGTATGGGCAACAGCAAGGCGAATAAGAAGAGGAACAAGAACAAGAAACGGAACGAAAATAGGAGAAAGAAAAAGAAGGCGAAGGGCGAAAGGGATGGTAACAACAACGGCACTGGGGCGGAACATGAGGAGAAAACTCCCACCGACACCATCAAAGACATTAAGAATATCGAGGGTAAGCAGGGCAAGAAGCACAGCGACACCAAACCTAGCAGCAAAACCAGTGCTGAGCGTAGTGCGGAGAAGGATACATCAACTAACGAGGCCAAGAAAGGCGACACTGCAATCACCGGCGCTATCAAGAGAAGCAACAGCAGTACGGTTAAGCGTGTTACTTCCGATAAGCATGGCAAGCCGATCGAGCTCGATGACAAGCAGCACAAGAATACTGAGGAGCTGTTCCACAACGATCTCTACAGTATGCTTCTACGGTATAATGCCCTGAGTGGCATGGGTTTCCAGGCGGCGTGTAGCGAGCACGTGTTTGCGGCTCTGAAGTCTCTTTTTAGAACAGACTTCGAGTGCTTCTCCTCGCCTCTCAACACGCACCACCCGCTATACTGCAGCGCGTATATTGACACCGATTTTCATTTTGGAAGCAGAGGCAACTTCTTTGACTTCTACCCCGCCTCCGGGTCATTCCAGGTAGGAATTCTATCCGTTCTACTTTTGGAATCCATATGGAATTGAGCATGCATGTCGTCCTCGACGCTTTCTTCTTTTTATCATCTACTGACTGACTGACTGCTTTATATCAGCACCCCTCTAGTACAGAAATTCACCTTACAACTAGTTCACGAAATTTGTTTTTATTGCAACACCGCTCTGTAGGCCAACCCACCGTTTGTAACCGGTGTGATGGAGCGAATGGCGAAGCACATTGAAACACTTCTGCAGAAAGCGAACACCAATTCGCAACCACTGTCGTTCATCGTGGTTGTGCCTGGCTGGGTTAATGAGGTGTCGTACCAGGTATGTATACGTAAACCTTATCCATCGTAGAAGCTGTAACATTTCGGTGGTGTGCGGGAGTTGTGCCGTAGGTTATCAATCTAAATCAGCCTGTTACTTGATGTGAGGTGATTTATGTACCATCTCTTTAATTTATGTAGACAATGCTGGCGAGTCCGTTCATGGAAGGGGATGGCCCATTGTTGATCAGCAAGGACGACCATGGTTTCTGCGATGGTGCTCAACATCAGCGCCAGGACCGGTACAGGTAAGTCAGATGGATAGATGGGATTCGCCTGGCTAATGTTAGTAAAACTGTGTCTTCGCGCCTTACTCCATATATCAACCCATTTTCTGAACTCGAATTTGAACCTCACATTCCTGATGCAGGAACTCCCCGTTTGACACGGCAATCTTCTTCTTACGTACCGACGCGGCACGCAATGTATACGGCGAACGCACCTTCGAGAGCGATGCTATACTTCGGAAAGCGTTTGCTGAAGCACTGCCGAGTGATGCGGCAGTTGCCAGGAGAGCCAGAGACGCGCGCGGGTTTGCGGACCTGGATAGAATGGGGAATGGCAGTAGTAAGAAGCGCAAGGGGTTTTTTAAGCGGTATTAAAGGCCAACTAAGGCGGTATAAAGGCTTGCTATGAAGTTTGGTACTAAGACGTGGAGTTTTCGTCCGACTCGGTCTGAGAATCACACTCAACACGAGTTTCAAGAAAGTGGCTTGTATATTCAGCGACAGCTAAGCGGGGATATGCGGCCCTGGATACCATTAGATGGGGGAGAAGCAATTGCATGCACGAAGGCCACTTTGAGAAAGTCTCACTAAAGTGTTAAAGGCAAACTGAGGGCTTCCTAACTAGGGTGAGGAGGTGGCGTCAGGCTCAATATTGTGGGAGTATCGGCTAAGAGGTTTGGTAGCTCTTGCCCAGCAATCGTTCAAAACAGGGGCGTTGTTAGCGAGCCAAAGATGCGCAAAGGCGCGCGGATCTGGAATTATTTGGAAAATGGTAGCAGTAAACAATGTGAGTGCTGTACAGGCCGGTAGTAGAGGCCAGCCATGAGATACGTGGAATCGATTCACTCAACATTACCGGAATTGAACGCCGGACTATAGGCTTTGCCGGCAAACTCGACTGTATGAAAGTGTCGGCCATGAAATATACAGTTCAGGTCAGGCAATGTTGAATGCGAGTGCCAGATTTTTACATGAGGAATGCACAAAGTACGCGTAGCTGGTAGAAGTTAGTTGTCAAAAGGTACAAGGCTCCTCTGAGCTGTGAAGATCGGTTATTTCAGTCAGAGTTTGTGATATATAAACGTTGGCCAACTCGGATGAATTCGAGTACAAGACGTCTAAGCCTGGTCGTACGTTATTGACTGCAATGCATAAAACTCCTATCAACCTGATTCCTTACCGGTCCTGTATATCAGAACATGCCCACGGGTTGTCACTCAATAATTGCGATATGAACAATGTGTAGAGCTTTAAAAGGTAAATAAAGGCCTCACGATCAAGCTAGAGAAATACTACAGAAGTCTTCTTGCACAATGAACTGCAAAATATTAATCTTATTTGTGCAAACAATTGTCTTTGTGATTGTTTTGTTATATATAATATGATATATTTAAATTAATATATATATATATACATATATGTATATAATATATATATATATGTGTGTGTGTGTGTGTGTGTGTGTATGCGTGTGTGTGTGTGTATATCTATGTAGTAAATAATATATATATATATATATATATATATATATATATATATATATATATATATATATATATATATATATATATATATATATATAGGTATATATATATTAT